GAGCTCCAAAAATTATGAAAATTTTTGTGACCTCTCTGTGATGTATATTATTTAGGAAAAATATGAAATGTTGTTTTTCAGTAATTTTTTAATGTGATAAAAATTGCTTAATTAATTAATAAATGAGTTTCCATAATTTTTCTAGGCTTAATTAATTATCAAAAAATTATGAAAATTGTTTTGCCACTTAGTTATCATGAGATGAATATTTACAAAAATTTTGAGCTCAATTGGAACAAGTTGATTTATTTCATAATTTTTAGTTAAATAATTAATTCATAAAAGCAAATAGTAACCTTTAATGATTTAGGTTTTGATTGAATTTTGGATTGAGTGACCTTGGGTCATTAGTTGGTAATGATCCTTGGCAATGGAATTAATTGTTATGAAAAAGGTTTAGTTCGTTTGACTTATAACTGTACTGCGAAGGAAAGTTGTATTCAAGTTGTTAATTTTGCATCCATCATCGGGCATCATGTTTTATATCTCGCATCATGTTAAACATGGCATTGTTACTACGTGTAGTGAACGAAGGTGAGCACGTGGTAGTTAATCAAGTTGTGGAAGAAGTTAATCCGTCTGTGGAGGTTGGAATTGAGATAGGTGGAACGACTCCGGAACCTGACTTTTCTATGAATCAAGGCAAGCCCCTACCTTGTGTTTTATAAATTGATTTTGCTTTTGCTTTTCTTTACTGCATTAAGTGATTAGGAGTTAAGTGAAAACCTAATTGGTGCATTACCAATTTTGTTTTTCCATATCTACCTTGTTACCAGTTTTACTTCGTAAATGCCTAGTTATGCTTAGCCATGCTTAGACCGATAAAAGTCGAGTGATTACCTGTCACCTGCGAGATATAAATGGATCTTTGGTTACACTTGGGTTACTTATGTGATCATGAAATATGAGCATGTGGAGTAATAAATCTAGACCGGGCAGACTCAGTGTGTGAGAGCCACAGGACATGGATGTCTTGTGAGCGGGTCCTTTCCGCCTGTGTCGATTAAGGCCCGTCTGTTGTTGAACTGTGTGAGATGAGACTTTGTAGTACTAACCACATACTCCGGTAAGCCTTAACTTGACGATTCTATTACGAGAATGGCTACTCGCGCACTAGGAGTGGAGAGATGGCAGGAATAGCGTGTACCCACGTGGCAATGGGCTGGATTGGTGGAGTGCTGTATTCTCGGGTGGCGTGGACCCGTTCTTGTTTTAGAGGACCTGAGGGTAGGTTGGTATATATAGGTCGGGGACCTGCATATGTCGTGTGGTCTGAAATTCCCAACTGGGTTTTAATCGGTTCGAATCGTCGTTGCTCCTCGGTTATGGAGACTCAACTCTCTGTTCATCGTCGTAGTTAATAAATGAAACTCGAGTAAGTTTTGAGAAAGAGTTTGATATGAAGTTCATGATCTCATTACGGATCATGGTAGATTCATATATGGTTGTTATGAAGTTTTAAATGTTGATATAAAGAATTTTGTTAAAGAGCTTTTACGCAAAAGAACTTTGATTATTGCTAAAGCCCTACCTTGAATCCCTGAGCCTGCATTCCTGAGTCTTATCAGTTTTTATTTCGGTTAAGTCTTGTTGAGTACTTTTGTACTCAGGGTTCGTTGACCCTTGTTGCAGGTGAGGCTCATGAGCAGGTCTGCTTTGGACCATGCTGCATGATTGTTGTTCAATGCGATGACGATAAGTAAATGTGTGGTCCCTGGGCAGGACAGTTTAATTGTGTGTTTTGTATTATGTTAATAATGCCACTCCACTACTATGGTTTATAATAATTATCGAACTTAGTTGTAAGGTTTGAAACTACTGTTTTGTAAACTAAGTTATTGTAAGACTTCCACTGTTTTACTCTGGTGTAGATATTTGAATAAATGTTGTAATATTGCAATGACTCTGTAATGTGATCCTGCTCAGAAATCATGGATGATTCGGGGTTCTCCGAGGACACCCGACAGTCTTCTTAACTTACCGGGACATATGCAAAGTTGTCAGAGGTCATTGGATAGTGACAGGTGCATGTGAGCCCTATAATTTGGGAGGTTCTGCCACAACCATCCTATGGGTGGTGGTGCCACCTGCCGGCCAAAACCCAAACCCGGTGCTCTCTAGAAAAATATGGTGGTGCCAGTGCACTTGACAGTCTGGTGACCATGGTGGTGCCACTATCAGCTCAAACTTGATTTCCACCATCTTAAGCTTGTAGAGCATTTCATTAGCTTCTGAAAAGTCCTAGATCATCGAAATAGGAGTTCGGAGCTAAGAGTTATGCCCAAAATACGAAAGCGTGTCACTGCAGTTTTGGGCATGTTGCAGGGGGTGGTAGTGCCACCGCCCTAGGGGGGGGCGGTGCGCACTGGAAAGGGTGGTGCCACCCCTCAGGCTAGGCTACGTGTTGGCTATAAGTTTAGTTGCGTTTTCTAACCCTCGGACAACCCAAACTTGCTCTTTTCTTCTCCTTTTCTTCTCCAAGATGATCCAAATCGACTCCAACAACACCTTTTGCAAATGTGCCAACACCACCAAGTGTCCACCATCGTCTGCATGCATGTTAGCTTTTCACAAATATTTTCCAAAGTATTAGCACTCAATTCACCACGCCACTCAATCCTAGCAATGACGTAAAGTTAGATCACTCGAGTGGCACTAGATGACCGATATGCAAACAAGTTTGCCCCACATGATAGTACGGCCATCTATCCTAAATCCGGTCATAAACTTCTCTACACACCTATGACCGGTGAAATGAAATGCCTATAGGTTATACCTTTGCCTCGCGCATTCCATTCCATCTCCTCCAATGTTGATGCAACACATGCACCAACCTTGATCAACAAATGATATGATCCACTTCATATCATCATGTGACCTTGTTGGTTCATTGATCTTGACCTCACTTGCTTTTCACCGTTGCCTTCATCCATTGAGCCGTTGTCGGCGACGCATGGGTAGGGGCGTAGGGAGTGAGCGGAAGATGCGGTCGGTTCAGGATGGGACACCATGGTTGGACCATGGACAAAACGGGTAGGAGTCCGATCCGATCCGTGTCCGACGAACGGCGTGGCCCGCTCCTTGGCCCGTGGTTCACCCCAGAATGATTACAACCTTCACATCTTATCAATGTCATAATTCTCTACACCTAAAAAATGCAAAAGGGTATCGCTGTGTGTCGTTCTTTCGTCCCGCCCGCTCCCGTTGCCCCGTCTCGCGAACGTCTAACCCACGAGCTATGGTTGCGCAACAAGATGTGGCCCTTGGATTATGCCACCACTTTCTCTATCTCTCGTGCTTCATCAATCCCTCATGCCACCATCCACCATCCACCTCGCATCGTGCACCCGTCCCCATCCACAATCGCCTCGTCGTTTCCTCTACATCTGTTGTCGCCTCACCTCAAGTCCTCCCGACATTTCATTGCTGCATGGTATCAAGCCCATCCGTCCCGTTGCATGATGCCGACACTCTGTTGCCTCACTTGCCCATGCCGCTGCCACCAAGGCAGTCCTCGCCTCTGATTTTCTTTACAAAATCTTCCCACTTTGAAAAGCTTGGCCATATCCATTGCTCGGCTCCTGTATCTCATGTATGTGCTGTGTATCCTATGTATCCACATCGGTTCACCCATGATCCTGTAGCAGTCAGCAAACAACGCGGCTGGTTGCATGAGGTAACTCCCCATGGTTGCATGCAGATCCATAGGGCCCATAATAGATCATATGTAGCCTTCAATTTTTTTTATGATTCCTTCGAAGAATCAACAAGCAGCCTGTTCGTTTCGGTTGAATTGGCTTATAAGCCATGGCTGAGTGCTGGCTGGTTTGGTGTGGGAGAAAAACACTGTTTAAGTCGTAGATTATAAGCCAGATACGAGCAAATAAGCCGAAACGAATAGGCTGAAGATCGATCGCTTTTATTCATAGGATGAGGTGACATAACAACATGCAAAGAAATCACAAAGGAGTCTAAATGGTGGTGAGATCTATATGATGTTTTTTTCCTGTTCAAAGCACAAGACTTCCTTCGCAATATTGTTTACGGGTGAGAAATCACATTCAATATCATTAGCAGATCATGTATTGTGCAACTCATATTTATTCTGTTCTAGAGAGATATTTCTTCATATAGTATTTATGACAAATTTCTGGATTTGATGGCTAAGCTTATATTACTATTTGTGTGTTCTATCCTTATATATACAATCTATAATATTTTAATTGTCATTCCTCTACGAGGACTCATGTAATATTGATGTTGATGTTTTAGGACATTATATAATTAAAACATTAGTTTTAGAGTAACAATAAAAAATATATTTATATTATCACGGTATTAAATTTTACTGTACAAATATTTATCGATTCGATCACCTAGGTCCTCTTCCAAAAGCCCAGGGCGCGAAAATGCAACCGCCAAATAGAAAAATATTTCCCTTGTCCCCGCGAAAAGGTACCGCCCCCACGCGTCCGCTCCCCGATCGGATGGCCCCCCGCATCTTCCACGTCAGCGATCCGCTCCCCCGCCAGCTCGGCCAATCGTCCGCCGCCCTGGCCTCTACATAACCTGCCTCGCCGCCGTCGCCCCTCCATCTCATTCCCACACCGCCACTCCCGCAGAGCGTCACAGACTTCCGCCGATCGATACAACGAGTAGACCAGGCGGCAAGCAATCTCGGAAGGAGAAGATGAGTTCCGGTGGCGGCAGGGGCAAGCCTAAGGGGACCAAGGCTGTGTCGCGGTCGTCCAAAGCCGGACTGCAGTTCCCCGTCGGCCGCATCGCCCGCTACCTTAAGACGGGCAAGTACGCCGAGCGCGTAGGCGGCGGCACGCCCGTCTACCTCTCCGCAGTCCTCGAGTACCTCGCGGCAGAGGTAACCGAATCCTCTTCCCCGTGCCCCTCCCTTTGTCTCCAGTCTCTTTATTTACTCGTTACTTTCCCCATTTGTGAATCCATCGGAAGGTGTTCTGAACTCTATCGTGGTCTTGTAATTGCAGGTCCTAGAGCTAGCGGGCAACGCGGCGCGCGACAACAAGAAGAACCGGATCGTGCCGCGCCACATCCAGCTCGCTGTGCGCAATGACGAGGAGCTGAGCAAGCTTCTGGGTGCGGTCACTATAGCCGCCGGCGGGGTGTTGCCCAACGTCCACCAGACGCTGCTGCCCAAGAAGGCTGGCGGCAAGGGTAAGGCCGAGATCGGCTCCGCCTCGCAGGAGTTCTAGACTGGCAGTTGTAGCCTTCTCTCTGGTTCACACTCAGCTTGAATTGGAAGGGGACCGCTGCTGAAGCTTCTTAGATTAGTACCAACTAGCAATAGTAGCGTCTTGCCTAGGTCAGGGTAGGTTCTGTGATGGATGTTTTATCAGGTTCAGTTTGTGGTGAATGAAAGTTGGCTGTATCTATCAATCATTCTCGCTGGAATGGACGGAATGGTTACTTGCTGTGATCTTGTTGCTCATGATAATTTGTGGGGTTGAAGTTGATACTGATTGTGATCTGTGGATTGGTTGTCAGTTGTGCTGATGGTAACATCCTCGTTGGGAAATCAACAAAATTGTTACCCTATGTAACTTCAGTCTGCTTCATTTCTCATTTTCAAGTAGAACTAGAGTGCAGTTCAATTCTACCCATACTCACACTTATGAGATAGAAAAATATTGGCCATTCGATGGTAAGCTCATTTGGTAAAAAACACTGGCTCTTCAGCGGCATGACATACTTGGTAGTTGGTACTAATTCTGAAACTGAAAACACAGAGTTCACCGAGGGCAGTCCAAGATGGGCTAGAGGAAGGGGAACACCGGGCCACTGAAGAATGCTACAACACATCTTGTCATCCTGGAGGTGTTTCAGTGCTGAGGGGCAGCGAAGTCGGATATACGCTGAAGATTTGAAATTCAGAAGCCTTCCTGTAGGTGTTTCAGTTTTCAGGACATTTCAATGGCTACTAATCCCTTCCATCCATGTGATTCTTTTCAAATAGTTCATCTAGTTTTTAGAAGTTCAGCTATTGTTAGTGTAAAAAAGTTTACCGAATTTACTATCATAAGAAATGAAACATCAAGCTCAGTATGGCATTAATGCCATACTTTTTCAGTCAACGAACAATATTTTTCTCTCACAGCCAACAGTATTTTTAATCATGGCTTATCAGCCAAGCGAACATGACACTAATCTTTATTTATGTGGTTTTCTTGTAGATAACATGGCTGGAAAAGGAGGCTATGCAGTGTTTGGTTTGCACCTCCTAAAGTTTAGTCATTTAAACCAGTTCCTAAACTTTAGTCATCCCTTGTTTGGTTTGGTGGACTAAAAGAAACTAAAAGAGGCCTTTTAGTCTCTTTTAGTCAAGATAGTTGGCTCCAAAGTGACTGAAAGGTGAGGTAGCCTGACTAAAAGGTGAGGTTTAATCCCTTTTAGCAATATTTGAGTGACTAGTTGGCTAAAGTCAATTTTAGTCCCATTTAGTCAGAGTGTTTGGATAAAAGTGACTAAATGGGACTAGATTTAGAAGGTGAATAGTGAACCAAACACCCCCTAATGGCGTCGTTCGGCTGGTTGGAAAACCAGCCGGAATTCACTATTTACTCTCTCACAAATTCCTCCAGATTTCTCTAAATTACTCCCAGCGAACAGGGCCAATGTCCAACATGTAGCTGTGAAGAGGCTCGTAGAACACATGCCCAGTGAAAAGGACAGAGAGTTCCGGGCAAAACCAGGGATCCAGGGGCATGTATGCCATCCAAAGACATCATAAGTTCTTGGATGGTGCGTTGTGAATGGGTTATTATACATGATGTTTTGAATTCTGTGGAACTGGAACTGTGCATTGGTGCTGCACGGTACTGAATTTCAGTCAGTAATATAATATATATCATTCAGAGTTGAAGTGAATCTCTTGAGTCTAATTATGTGACAATAGAGGTCAAATTTTACAGGGAAGAGTGGGAAAATGATAGAGGGCACATTTCGGTAAGAACAGTATATGCTCATTTTGAAAGCATAGTAACGGAAATCTATTGTGTTTCGACTCAATTTAAAAAAAAATCACTTTAAGCAGGTACTTGACAGTTGACACCAGAATACTTCATGCACGGCATCGTTTAATGAAAAGACTGACATGTTTGCCTTTGGCTTTCTGCTGCTGGGGATTGTCACTAGAACTAGAGTATTGACTGCTCCAAGCAAAGCGTTCTACGATAGGTAATCACAAGAGAAACAAATGCTGTGGTTACCAAGCAACAACTCACACAAGACTTCCTTTTTTTTTAGAACAAAGAAATTTTTATATTACTTCATTTCTCAGCATGAGAGTCCCGCTGAATACATAGAGATAAAAAAGTCTGGGATATCATGTAACCACATACATTCAGAATTTGAGATAAAAGCAAACTTAGCTGTATAATGCGCAGCCATGTTTGCTTCCCTCCTTACATGAGCAAGAGCAAAATATGTGCATTGACAACTAAGATCCTGGACTTGATTTAGCAATGGAATAACAACACACCTATTAGTAGCTCTAGAATTCCATAGAGCCACCAATTCTTGACAATCCGTTTCAACAATCACCTTTGTTAGTCCAAGATCCTTTATCAGTAGCGCCCCATCACGATACGCATAAGCTTCAGCAGTAAGAGCATCAGGTATTGACTCATATTGTCTACATTTGGCTGCTACCAATTGACCATGTTCATTACGTGCAACCACTCCCGAGGCACCTTGATAAGTTTCAGTTTTAAAAGCTGCATCAAAATTCACCTTAATTACGCCTTCAGGAGGAGGGCACCAGCAAACCTTCTTCATTTCCATCTTCAAAGTGTATGCTGATGGCAGGCTAGAATGGATAAGATCAGTTGCCATTTTCCATGCCCACCTGCAAGCTTGATATAACTAAATTGATGTTTCTCCGTGCTTTCTTCTGTTTCTTGCTGTCCATAATGCCCACATGGCACATAAGATAGAGCCACTTTTCTCCTGCGAACAGAATGCAGTATCAAGAAGGTCCTGACTCCAAGTAGATGGGTGCAATAGTGGTAATTTAATGCCATATATATTTTTGAAAGATTTCCAGAAAGCTCTAGCCAAAGTGCATTGAGTTAAAGCATGTTAAATTGTATCCTCTTCAACTGCACACAAGACTTCCTCTTGCCATCCAGGTATGGCCATTACTGGAAGCTGGGCAAGTGACTCAACTTGCAGACGCAAACCTCAGAGATGACTGACAAAGATCAACTGAACAGGATGCTTGCTATCGCATCATGCTGCTTTGATGTGGCAGCCCTCAATGATCGAGGTACCATTAATCGATTTACTACCTGAGTTGGTCTGGTTGATAAATTGTGAAGTGTTTGTTTGCTGATGACTGAATGTCCCCCTTGGTCCTAAAAAGAATCGACGGTGGTAGCGATTTCTCTAAGGATTAAGTTCACTTTCGGTGACTCAACTATTGTGTCGGTCTAATTTTAACATTCAACTATAAAACCGTCTAATACCGGTACCCTAACTGTCAGAACCGTTCACTTTTAGCACCTGGGCGGGGTCAAGGCTGTTTTGACCGACGTTGAGCGATTTTGACACGCAACCTCCATCTCAGTGACATGTGGGGCCCACGTGTCATCGACTCAATCCCTCCCTCTCCATCCTTATCGCCATGGCTCGTCGGTAACCGGCCAGCTGTGCTGCTCGCGCTGCCGCCCTGCTCGCGCACCGCCGCAGCCTGCTTGAGCGTCGTCGCCCTACTCGCGTGCCGCCGCTACAACTTGGCATCGACGCCTTGTTGCGGATGTGGGCACGTCTGGCTCGAGGAGCAGCTGTGCGCAGCACGGCACAGGCAGCAGCACCGTGCGGCAGCGGCACTGCTCGGCACAGCACGGGCGCAACACCAGCACGGCGGCCCCGGGACCGCCGAGAGGAGTGGAGGCCAGCACCGCCGCGTCGCTCGCGCCGGGACAGCCTGCCTCGCGAGGGTCAGCGCCCGCGCCCGCGAGAGGAGTGGAGGCCAGCGCCGCCGCGTCGGAGGGAGTAGTGCCCGCGAGGGAGCCGCGCGAGTGAGCAGCGCCCGCCTCGCCGCGCGCGGAGAGAGGACGCGTCGGGGGAGTGGCCGTGAGGATGGAGAGGGAGGGGTTGAGTCGATGATGCGTGGGCCCCACATGTCACTGAGATGGAGGTTGCGTGTCAAAACCGCTCCACGTTGGACAAAACAGCCTCACCCGCGCCCAGGTGCTAAAAGTGAACGGTTTTGACAGTTAGGGTACCGATACTAGACGGTTTTATAATTGAGGGTTAAAATTAGACCAACATAATAGTCGAGGGACAAAAAATGGACTTAATCCTAAATAAAATCAGCACTAACGTTTGGAACATATTTGCATGCCAATTCATCGAAGTACCACGACCGTGAGGTGAAATTGCTTAAGAGGTAGCATGGGCAGGGGCCTTGAAGCCATCAATGTGAGCTATGTGGGGTCATTCTCATTCCACGTTAGCTATATTTCTACTTTATAAAGACGATAATAAAATATCGGCCATATAAATTTATCCATAAAAGTATGTGTAAAATAAAAGTATTTTGGCTTTTGGAACCGATGAACATTCATCAACAAGCAAAATAATTTGACAATCCTGTATTATATAAAGACCCATACCAAGAATCAAAATAAAGAGTTGAGGAATAACGAAACATACCAGGCGATAAATTCCATGACATAGGCATGGGTGAAAAATATAGATGATGCAGTGACCAATTTTTTTTTTTTGATGATGGTGCAAACAGAGTTTGGCAACTGTTTTTTGAATCTTCTTCTATCCCTTGCTTTTGTTGTACCCTTTGCTTGAGACCATCCCTCTTGTGATCTTGAACACTCCTTTTAATTTTCTTTCAACTTCTAAACACTGAGCTTTTACCGTTTTTTCTTCTGCCACTTTGGCAAACCGAGTGCGTTTCTTAGTTTTGTTTCTATTTTGGATAGGAGCAATTCTTTCTTAACTTTGGGCAACTCACTACTATAAAAAAGATTTTGCGAGACATGCAAGTTTTATTAATAGAGGCGGTCACAAAGTTTACCCGCCTCCACCTTATTTTGTTCAGATTCGACATCTAGGATATCAACAGCTAATTAGTCAGAATTTTTTAGCATTGTAATAGGCTTCAATAGTTGATTTCAGATTTGAACTTCCTTTCTCACGGTAAACTTGTTTTATCACTTTTTCCTTTAATTGAGCT